CACACTTGATGTCAGGTCATTTCATGAAATAGTTCTTCTGATTTTAATTAACCTCCATCAGCCATTCCCCCCAATGTCAAAAATTATCTTTAGCCCCATGGCCATCAAACTGTTGAAACGACGTGAATAATTCATTAGTGTAATGTTAACGATAACTTACTGCAGATTTGTATCACACCATAGTTTGTGGTTTTTTCCATCAATGAGATGCAGTCTGCAATAGGGATGTTATGTGCTTCACATGGAGTTAAACATCATTACCTACAGCCAGTGTCCATTTAAAATGTTTGAAGTGGTTTGGATATGTGAAAATAAAAGGGAATGAACAGCAACATGTAGCATGCAAAACCTGTAGGAGCAGGTGAAATGTTTTTTTGATTGGTCAGCTGAAGGTTTGACAAGTTCAACCAGTGCAGCTCATTTCCAAAAAATGTATTTTATTTGACAGCATTTTTAGTGACAAAGTGTATTTTCCTTGGTGATAGAGGGCAGTACATACATAAATCATTGCAAGCAAGCAGTATTTTTTTGTTTGAATAACACCTTACCAACATACCAACGGCCATTAGGGTAAAAAATCCCTGATAGCGCCACCTCCAGCAAAGTGACAAGCACGTCAGAGTTCCTTTCATTGCTGGCAAAGGGCGAAGAGGTAAATTTGTAAAACAGCAACATTTATGAATAGCAACATTTTGTAACTGTTACAAATCTGTAAATGGTGTCTGAGACTTGGACCCGCTCCCAAGGATTTTAGACCAGTTTTTTTTATGGTTATATGTAACAAAGAAAACATTTTTCATAGCCTGGCCTGCCAGACTTGTCCTCTATTTAATTCTGCACAGAGAAAGAGTCTGGTAACTCAGGCAGAGAGGCACATGAGGGGCGGGACTAGGCAGCTCAAAAATAACCAATCAGAAAAAAAGAGGAAAATGCTACTCGATGCTGTAGTTTTTTAGCTGTAGTCAAAAATGGCATCTGGCAACGGCGCAAACATCTTTTTTTGTTGAAGAAATGCTTTTAGCACTTCTACTTGTTGTGGTTTTAAAGACATTCAAGTCATTTAGAACAGAGGAAAGAGCCGCAGCGAACCCTGCTTCAGTCGCCATGTTTATGATGAATTCGGTGTTGTGGTGTGACGTACTCTACTCAGCACTGACTGGCTCGGTTAAAATTCTCAGGGGGTGGGGCTATTTGAATAGGAGAAATCCCAGACCCTTTCTATGTGCAGAATTAAACAGAGGAGGAGTCTGGAAGGCCAGGCTAATTATTTTATTAATTTTCAACAAAATTTCGATGGATATTTCCAGAGATTAATGGTACATGTTGTCTCTTTAAAGTGAAGGATTTTAAAATTATACAGGTGCTGGCCAGTAAATTAGAATATCATCAAAAGGTTGAAAATATTTCAGTAATTCCATTCAAAACGTGAAACTTGTACATTATATTCATGCAATGCACACAGACCAATGTATTTCCGATGTTTATTACGTTTAATTTTGATATTTATAGGTGACAACCAATGAAAACATCAAATCTGGTATCTCAGAAAATTAGAATATTCTAAAGGCCAATGAAAAAATGTTTGTTTCTCTAATGTTGGCCAACTGAAAAGAATGAACATGAAAAGAATGTGCATGTATAGCACTCAATACTTAGTCGGGGCTCCTTTTGCCTCAATAACTGCAGTAATGCGGCGTGGCATGGACTCGATCAGTCTGTGGCACTGCTCAGGTGTTATGAGAGCCCAGGTTGCTCTGATAGTCGTCTTCAGCTCCTCTGCATTGTTGGGTCTAGCGTATTGCATCCTCCGCTTCACAATACCCCATAGATTTTCTATGGGGTTAAGGTCAGGCGAGTTTGCTGGCCAATCAAGGACAGGGATACCATGGTCCTTGAACCAGGTGCTGGTGGTTTTGGCACTGTGTGCAGGTGCCAAGTCCTGTTGAAAGGTGAAGTCTGCATCCCCATAAAGTTGGTCAGCAGCAGGAAGCATGAAGTGCTCTAAAACTTCCTGGTAGACGGCTGCATTGACCCTGGACCTCAGGAAACAGAGTGGGCCAACACCGGCAGATGACATGGCACCCCACACCATCACTGACGGTGGAAACTTTACACTGGACCTCATGCAACGTGGATTCTGTGCTTCTCCGCTCTTCCTCCAGACTCTGGGTCCTTGATTTCCAAAGGAAATGCAGAACTTGCTTTCATCAGAAAACATAACTTTGGACCACTCAGCATCAGTCCAGTCCTTTTTGTCCTTGGCCCAGGCGAGACGCTTCTTGCGCTGTTTCTTGTTCAAGAGTGGCTTGACACACGGAATGCGACACCTGAATCCCATGTCTTTCATGAGTCTCCTCGTGGTGGTTCTTGAAGCGCTGACTCCAGCTGCAGTCCACTCTTTGTGGATCTCCCCCACATTTTTGAATGGGTTTGTCGTCACAATTCTCTGCAGGGTGCGGTTATCCCTAGAGCTTGTACACTTTTTTCTACCACATTTTTTCCGTCCCTTCGCCTGTCTGTTAATGTGCTTGGACACAGAGCTCTGCGAACAGCCAGCTTCTTTAGCAATCACCTTTTGTGTCTTGCCCTCCTTGTGCAAGGTGTCAATGATTGTCTTTTGGACAGCTGTTAAGTCAGAAGTCTTCCCCATGATTGTGGTGCCTTCAAAACAAGACTGAGGGACCTTTTAAAGGCCTTTGCAGGTGTTTTGAGTAAATCAGCTGATTAGAGTGGCAGCAGGTGTCTTCTATATTCAGCCTTTTCAGAATATTCTAATTTTTTGAGATACCAAATTTGGAGTTTTCATTAGTTGTCACCTATGAATATCAAATTTAAATGTAATGAACATTGGAAATACATTGGTCTGTGTGCATTGCATGAATATAATGTACAAGTTTCACGTTTTGAATGGAATTACTGAAATATTTTCAACCTTTTGATGATATTCTAATTTACTGGCCAGCACCTGTAAATGACTCAAACAGTTGACTTCTGCAAACATTTAGTAGATTGTTGACATGCCATATTTCAGTGTGTTTTTATTCACAGAAAAGCAGAAACGTTGGTTACGTATTGTAACCCCAGATTCTATGAGTCTAGTCGCAGCCCTTAAAGGCACGGTCCATAAAATGACACCAGCAGGGTGAGGAGGAGGAGATTTTTAAATTCGAACGGCTGTTGCTCACTCCCCCGCCTTTCCTGAAAGAGCCGAAAGCCACACCTCCTAATGTGCACGCACAGTAAAAGCCGAGTCAACACCAGAGCATTGCTTCTTCATAATAGAGCTGAGCTAGTGTTAGCAATGGAGTTATCTGAGGTAAGAAAGTTGTTTTTAACCAGCACATTAAACACTTACTGTTTACAAAAGGCATTTTATAAAGAATATCTATAAATATATACATATTTTAAAATACCAGTAACAGTTGACAATATATTGTAAATAAAATGAATCCTATCAAATTGTTAGCATTTTATTACGAGTAATTAGCTTATTTTTAATTGCTTTGCCATTCAAGATGGGATGAATATATCAAAGCATATAATTTATGTGGAAATCATGAATAAACACTGCATTCTGTGTAGTCCTCCTATAATCATGGTTGTTTTCATAGGGTTTCTGGTTATTGTTGGTTTAGCCCAAATTTTGACTAGATGTAAACCTGATCTGTGTCAAAATTGATTAATATGCAAGAGTACTTTTTATATTAGTATAATTTTTTTTTATTCTAATACAAATTAGAGTTCAGTAATTGAGGAATCCTCTGAGGAAGAGTTTGAACCTCCTATTGCATCCTCAAGACGTGGTGCAAAAAGGAGATGCCCACCATCATCTCAAAGCCGTGGTGCATCCAGAGGCCGAAGAAGTGCGAGACACTCAGCTGTGGACCTTGGAGATGAAGATCTCTCTCGAGAGAGAGAGCGAATAGACTTTGAACGTGTAAGCATAACAAAATTACACTAAAAGATCCTGAAATCTGTTGCTGTAGCATCTCTTTCCACTTTTGTAGCAACACATACAGAACCTGAACCCTCAGCAGGCTATTGACATCCTCACCATGGTGCTGGACAGAGACCCTGGTGCTCTCTTTGATGTACTTGCCCTCTCTGGTCCACCTGCCACAACACCTCCAACATCCAATCAACCTTCATGGTGTGTATGCTCCCACTGCAGAGATATGCCAACTGATTTGGAAAAGAAATGCTGCCAACAGCCTCCCCAGACATGTATTTCAACTGTACCACACATGGAGGAGTTTATTTTGCAAAATGGTATTCTTCGCCTGGCCAGAACATTGTGGAATGAGTTTTGAGCAGTTTATGATGACCCGGACCCTGGTGAGGACAACAGACAGTTCCGCCATGCAGCTTACAGACAATTTGTAGCATGGCAGCATGGAAAACTTGGTGGAGGGCGCAGAGTAGTAATCCCAAGCTGTGTTGTCTGGAGGATAAGGGAAAAATTCCCTGACCCCAATGGTAACTACACTGGTTTTATTCCAAGACGATTGTAAATAAATGTATATATTTGATATTTTACATAAGTATGTTTTTATATATGTTTGTTTGATGCTCTAATAAAGTGTTCTAAAGCATAACTCTGTGTTGCATTTGTAAAAATACCATAAATTTTAAAACTCCTGCACAACAACAAAAACTTAAGTCTACCTCCAGCATTTTACATACATTTTTAAATTATTAGTCCTTATTTCCCCAAAATATATCTTTATTTTCAAACCAAAAAAACACAGGAAACAAAAATAAAGAAGGTTTTGGGGTTTCTCTTGCCTCCCCCCAACACCTATGTCTGTGGCAAAGTTTTACCTGTAAATAAAAAATAAGCTCAATCAGCAATGGACTATTGTGTGGAAGATGTAAGGCAGATAATGTTTTATTTTACCATCACTGCGAGTCCGTAGGTGTAGAAGTTCCTCTGTTGATGGTGCAGGGACTCCGGATAGCAAACCACAACGCCTTGGATCCTCAGGCCTTAGCTTGTAGCGTTGAGGAAGACCTTTCTTGCTTGTCAAACGTTGGTTGACGATCATGGTTTGGATCTCTGGGATTTAGGAGTAGTCTTTTGCCACCTTCTCAGAATACAGCCTCCAGCATCTTGATTTTTTGTTGAATATTATATGGTATCTGAAATGACACATGCCATAACTTGTAGTAGAGCCCTGCACTGAAGCCCTAGGCCCCCGGGTCGGCCCGGCCCGACGGCCCTCGGGCCGGGCTTCCGGCCAATGACTGTGTAATCACCTCGGACACGGGCCGGGCCGGGCTCCTTTATTTTTAATCGAATTCATTGAAAAAAAATTGAAACACCTAAACCAGGGGTTGGTCACCTGTTCCCATCAAAGAGACATTATTACCTGTTTCCCACAGTTAAGAAAACACTGGGAGCCACAGCAGCCGCGGCGTTGTGGGCGGGGCCTACCCTCAGACAGCAGAGAGCTGCTCACAACAGATGACAGCAGCCAGTACCGGTCACTCGTGTACGTCAAAGTTATCTTTCATAAAAAGATAATCAATAAAACGATTTATATAAAGTGGATCCAGAAGTTGTAGCCCGTCTCTGCCGACAATGTTTTGATATTTTTCACCCTGTTGGTGGTTTTACTGAGCAGGTGCCACTTTTGTCATACGTTTCTTTTTAAAACATGTTTAGACTGTTCAGAATACAAATCCAGGCTGTGTCATGTTTGATTTTTGTAATTAAACTTTGTAGGTGGGGATGGTCAGAAAAGGATCCGATCATTTTGTTTTTCCCTCATTTACAGTGACGGAGATAACGGTGCAGTGCGCCTGGCTCTGGTGGTAATCAAGTTTAATTTTATCTCTTTGCAACAATTTTCACAAGAAAACAGAACAGTCAAAAGCAGGGCTTGTGCTGACCGGACAGTTCCCGTATTTGACCGTTTATTTTGACGGAGAAAGAATAGAAAGAATTACCCCGACGCATGCAGACGAACTGACATTTTATTCTACGCACATCGCAGATGTAGCTAAATCACCCAAGAAAAGATTCCCATCTGAACATCTGAGCTGGACACTGCTCAGCGCAGCTCGCTGTCAGCGCAAATGTGCACAGCGAGCTGAAGTTGTGGAGATTGGCTTGGAGCGCGTTGCAGAACCAGAGCGCATGTGGGAAGGTTCCTCCGACTGAATTCATTCAGAGGAATCTTCCCTCTGATCTGAATCTGATGCTGCTCTCTGTGCTTGTAAAATAATGAATGCATATTTAAATAAAATGCTTTATATTTTACTGAATTAATTTTATATCTGTAAGTCAATTCTATGTAAAGATTGTGTGCGTAAACCTGAACAGGCCCAACCCGGTCTTACTGTGAGACCGGGTTGACGGGTCACACTTGTGCGTAATCATAGGCGCTTCCTGAGCTGAAGAGGATGTGAGATTCTGGGATTCTCCTCAGACGGCTCCTGGATGCGTTGCCTCATTGGAGACAGGAACAAGCGCTATTCAGCCAAAGTTTCATAATCAGGGAACATTTTCTAAGTGACAAGTCTCTCTGAGAGACCGGGTTTGGAAAACACTCGCTTCAGTGGGAGGAACCTTCCCGCATGCGCTCTGGTTCTGCGACGCGCTCCAAGCCAATCTCCACATCTTCAGCTCGCTGTGCACATATGCGCTGACAGCGAGCTGCGCTGAGCAGCTCAGATGTTCAGATGGGAATCTTTTCTTGAGTGATTTAGCTACATCTGCGATGTGCGTAGAATAAAATGTCAGTTCGTCTGCATGCGTCGGGGTAATTCTTTCTATTCTTTCTCCGTCAAAATAAACGGTCAAATACGGGAACTATCCGGTCAACACAACACAAGCCCTGCTTTTGACTGTTCTGTTTTCTTGTGAAAATTGTTGGAAAGAGATAAAATTTAACTTGATTACCACCAGAGCCAGTGCGCCGTTATCTCCGTGATGGTAAATGAGGGAAAAACAAATTGATCGGATCCTGCACGACTTTTAACACATTGGTCAGGATTGACGCACTTTGTTTTCATTTAGTTGGTTAAAAAAAAGTCGGGCTCGGGTCGGGCCAGAGAATCCTGAAAACCTTTTCGGACTGGGTCGGGCTGAGGCTCCACCCCCTCGGGCCAGGCACGGGCTCAGATTTTAGGCCCGTGCAGGGCTCTAACTTGTAGGATACAACAAATTAGCTGAAAAAGTGTTTTACATTAAAAGTAATTTAGGTAAGCCCCACCTGGAGGCACTATTATTGAAAATGTGGTGTTTCTGTTATTCTACAGTTGGCCTCTTGACAGCATGTTGTTAAACCAATATGTAGCAGTTAGGAGCGTTGTGGTTGTTCATCTGAGGAAGTTGTTAATAAAAAATGACTAAAACTGGACCAGTGAAATATGAATTTATGAGTGTATGTTTCATTTAAAATATAAATAAATAAATACATACTGTATCGATCCATCTGCTCTCCTCTTCACTTCTCGATGTGAGTGGTGATTGTAGTCCAGTGCAGCAAGCAGTATCCGTGCCTCGTAAACAGGTGGGATGTAACTGAATCTTTTGCTTGCATACATTAGGAGATGGTTGTGAAACGCCTCCAAATTTGCTGTAGATCTAAAACAAGTATTTAACATTTAGAACAATTATATTATTATTTATAGCTATAATTAAATACAGTACCTGAATTGCAAATATTTTGGGACTTCTTTCAGCCAGCGTTCACTGAGAATGATGTCACTGAGGGCTTTGTGTGCAGTGGAGACTTTCTGAATCCAGTCTTTCTCTCTGTCACTTAGTAAAGGATCATGCTGACAAGCATCCAGAGACCACTCATGTTCTCCAGTCACATGATGGAGTAGACCGATCCACATGTCCTAAAAGACATATGTGGCGATTAGTTACATTCACTTTTTTTTTAGATGAAAACACAAATAATGTACTTACAAAAAACTCATGTGTTCGCCGACTTGCAGCAAAACCAAAAATGGTTACAGATATCTTTGTTCCACTGTAATAAAACAAGTTGCCCCAGCCTTCACAGATTTCTGCACGAGCTGATTATCATTCCTTTTTTTTTAATATGGAGTTTTCACGTAGGTAAGACCACAAAATCAGACGGTAATCTGTACACCCAGGTTAGCACAATAAGTCTTTCAGTGCTAATGGAAATAAGGTTTTGGATACGTTCCTGATCAATCACACCTAATTCTAACTGCTGAATCATCTCCTCAGACTTCTACAAGTGCTACATGAGCTGATGATTAGGGCTGGGGGTAAACGATTATTTTTAAAACGATTATTCTGACGATTATTTTATCGAATAGTCGACTATTCTAATGACTATTTAGAAAATTAATCTAATGATTATTTTTCTATTGCACAATTAACAAAAACCAGAAAATCTCAAATAAATTCCTCAAAAAAATTGATAAATTCTTACTGTAAGAGAATAAACACTACAGGCCTTCCATTTTGTATAACACTGCGTTTATTGTGTTGGTTGGTTATGTTCTGGTGACGTGTAGAACGTGGGAGTGCAGGCTGCTGCCTGAGAGGTGGTAGAAGATGGAGTGTCTCCATGCTGCTTTGTTTTGGTCACTTATGTGCGTGAGGCGAGTGGTCTTACGGGTTAAACCAAACTCAGGTGATATTTTAAACTAAACCGAAAACCCACAACACTCTAAAGGTAATAAAAGGGAGATCTGCACCACAAAAAAGATGAACTCTAAACCAAAACGTAACAGCTTATCCCAACGCAAGAAGCTGTTAGCGAAGATGCTAACAGTAGCTTTACCAATGTTAAGTTCAAGTTACCAAGTTTAAATAAACCAAAAACACCCAGCAGCAAACAGACCAGCACGGAGGAGAGACTGCTACCACCAAAACAGCTCTCCTAATGTCTGAAAGAAGCTCCTTAATGAAGGGAGAAGCGCTCCCGGTGATTTTCTACATCTGCGGTAGACACGAAGCAGCGCATCTGACCCCGGAAGTTGTTGTCCGTTGCCGGGAGATGAAGGCGGGCAAAACAGGAAAATAATCTAGTAGTGGACGGACGTTGTTCCGGGTCTTCGGTATTTGGCGGAGATGTTAGTGAAGGCGGAGAAGAGGGCGAACTAGAGGAAAAACAGGCAGATTCCTCCTCTATTTACAAACTCCTGGGGATGCAACAAGTGGGCGCGGTGCGTCGACTTCCGGATCTGACGTCGACAAATTTTTAGAATCGAGCCGTCGACTTCGTCGAGGCTTCGCTACAGCCCTACTGATGATTATTCATTTTAATCAAACACGCAGCTCAGGAAAGTGTAAATGTGATGCCCACAAAGTGTGGTCACATAATTTTGTTAAAGTATTTAGTGGTGTAATTTAGTAAAAGTAATAAAATAAGAATAGGAAAGTGTGGGGCGCAATACCGGGGTTCTCCACAAGGTGGCGGGGGGATGCGAGACGGCTAGTGGAGCGCTGTGTCCCATCTACTGTTATTCGGGAGCAGCAGTTCACAGAAACCACTCCATTCTGATGTCACTGTCTCTTTTTTTGAATTTCAGGTTAGTAAAGTGCACCCAAGCATACAAATCCACCTATATGAGGTGTGCCATGACTTTATAAATGTAGTGACGGTTGATAGCTTATGCTAAAGGTTCAGTTATAGAGTTAATTGGACGTACATAGCCGTTAACGTTTTGTGCCCATAGTCTAGCCTCACAGGCAAATAGCTCAACTGGTAAGGTTGTGAGCTATCCTAGCTTGAATGGGTTTAATAGAAATTTATATGTTCAACAAATGTTTAATCGATAGAAGGGTACTGAAGTAGGTTTAGTTATTATAATAGAAAAAGTGGATTTTAATGTTGTTTCGGGTCAAAAGAGTGCTTCTTGTAGCAACGGCTAGGTCACACTGGTGAATATATATGAATGTTTGATTGTGCATTGTCTTGTAGCCAAGCCTAAACGTTTATGAGATTGTGGAAACTGTAAGGGAAAATGATTGAATACTGGTTTAGTGGAAATGAAGGGAAAGTGAATACATACACATGTAATGTAAAAGGGAATATATTATCCTGAGAAAAGATAATTAAAGATTTGGGAGTAGCAGTTCACAGAAACCACTCCATTCTGATGTCTCTGTCTCAATTTTTTTGCATTTCAGGCACCCGGACGTTCCCTCAATAATTTATATTTAAGCTGTTAGTGGGGATTGTGCCGGCCCGATACCTGCAACATAAACATCTAATTCAGCGTTCAAGATGCTAACGGAACCCCGCTAACGGGGAAGTTATAAACAAGAGCTTAAAACAATACACTGATATGGCCTATAGTTAAACGCCACACTAATCATTAGCTCCCATACAAAAAAAAAAAAAAACTAAAATCCCCTTTCGTTACTCAAACTTCTTCCAAATATATTATAAATAGTTCGACTAGCATCGATTCATGTCGACTTAGCATTCAAGCTAATGCTACATTAGCCAATAGGACACCAAGCATACAAAGCTTGTTTGCTCTATTACTTCTTTCAGCGAAAGAAAGATTTTAAGTAAATTTATCCGAAAAACAATAAATAACTTACCTGTCCAAAAGATACTTTGCCAACTCTTCATCCGTTTTCAGGCCGTGTAGATCACGAAAATCTCTCCATCGTTTAAAACAATCTCCAATGTAAATTCTACTCGACTGTCTTAAACGTCTTACAGCCACTTTTGAAGAAGGGCTTTTAAACTTTTTAAATGTTTTTTGAGATGTGGAAGGCAGTCGAGGAATCGGTAATTTGGGGTTTTGTTGCTCCATGTTTCTGCAGTAAGCCGAGTGAGGCGCGTGACACTGTTGTGCACGCTGAGACCTGCTCATGCTCGATGATTGACAGCTACCTCTGGTGGTAACGCAGCGCTATTGGTCAACGCGTTAGGCTTGCAGAAATATTGGCTGAGCTCTACAGGGTAGGGGAGGGACTTAGGAGAAAATTGAAATATTAAAGATTATTTACTTTTTTTAAATAAAATTGGGTCAGATGGTCAAAATCAAACATTTTTAAAGTTATTCTACATTTAAATGTTACAAACTGTGCCTTTAAGCTAGCTGCTATTGGAAGGATGATCTCAGCATCAGCCAATCATGAAGAGCTTAAATGTATGCCCACCAATGGTGGGCACCCCTGTGGCTATATAAGTGGAGCGACTCCACTGTTCTCCTCCGATGGCTCTTGATCCTAACAGGACCAGTGGGGCCAGTGGCTTAAGGGCTGTGACTAGACTCATAGAATCTGGGGTTACGATATGTAACCAACATTCTATTTCGTCTAGTCTTAGCCCTTAAGGTAGCTGCTATTGGAATAATGTGCAGCTGGATGGGTTTACACTGGTTAGCTCAACCAAATGGACACACCCAACATGTCTCGTTTTAGCGAGGGTCGCTCAGCCTCAGCCCAGTGCTTAGAAAGCTGAGGCAGCCAGAGAGAAGAGTGGGGTTCCCACTAAAATATTATCCACAAGAGGATGAAATTCATTCAAGTAGGGCTGATGTGGTGCCATAATGCTTTCACTCAGCCTGCTGAGGTCCAAGCACTGAACGAGTGATGGAACCTGAAGACACATCTCGTAAATAATAATGAGTAAAGGAACATGGGGAAGCCCATGAAGCAGACTGAAAAATGTCTTCCATCGACACACCACTGTGGAGCGCCATAGAAGAGGAAATCCCTCTGGCTGAGTGAAGTGTCTCAGGAGGATCCTGCCCTGATGATGTGTAAGCGAGTGAAATGGCGTCACATAGCCAGTGTGAAAGACGCTGGGTGGACAGCGTTTGCCCAAGGGAAGAGTCTCTGTAGTGCACAAACAGGCTTTGTGAGCGGAGAATCCCTGAAGTGCGTGACACATATCGTGCGAGCGCGCGCACCGGGCGGAGAAGGTGGGAAGCCGCCTCCTCTTCAGAATTATGGGGAGGAGAAAAAAGTCCAGCCAATGAAATTGACCTGGATTTGAAGGAAGTATTAATGTTTTGGGGCACAAAGGCTGGGTTGGGGCATAAAACAGCAGATCCACCATCTTCCCGGACTTGACTGATGCTAGCGCCAGCAGCAAGGCAGTTTTGAGTGACAGGAACTTGAGTGAGACCTGGTCCAAGGGTTCAAATGGGGCTTCAGATAAGCCGCGCAGAACCACCGTTAGGTCCCACTGAGGAAATAGCGGGCGGGACACAGGTCTGTTCCTTCTGACACCTTTTAGAAAACATTTTGTGAGGGGATGATTGAAAACAGATTTATCTCCAAAACCTTGGTGACAGGATGAGAAAGCTGCAGCATATGTTTTAATAGTGCTGAATGCGAGCCCCCTGTCAATCAGTATCTGCAGAAACGATAGGACATCCGCCAGCTGGAGAGCGCTTGAACATTCCGCTCTGTGCACCAGTTTTGGAAAGCTGCCCATTTAGCAGCTTAAGATGCGACTGTAGAAGGCGCCCGCGCACTCTGAATCGTGGCGACCACATCATGCGGCAGCCCAGAAGCCTCTAAGCGTGACCGCTCAGCGGCCAGACCCACAGCCGTTGGCCTATTTCTGGAGGATGTTTGATTATCCCGTCCGCCTGGAGAAGGGCGTCCGCCCTCTACAGGAGCCGGACACCAGCGCTTGCAGGTCTGGAAACGATGACTCGGACAAGCGTCTGGGAGCTACCAGAATTACCAAGAGCTGTTCCGACCGAACTCGGTCCAGGAGACGGTGAATCAATGGGACTGGCGGAAACGCATACAGGAGCGTCTGAGGCCAGGGCTGGTGTTAGAAGGCGTCCGCTCCGAGCGGGGGGTGGTCCCGGGGACTCAGGGAAACTCACAGGCGACACTGAGCGTTTTCGCGAGCCGCGAACAGATCCACAGATGGTTCCCTGAACTTGATCCATATCTGCGATATCAGTGCGGGATGCAGACAGCAGTCGGAGTTGCGGGGTCCCCCTCTCGACAGGATGACTGCTGCCACATTCAGGACCCCCGGAATGTAGGTGGCTTTGATGGACAGCAGGTGGACATGTGCCCAACACAGTAAATCTGTGGCTACACGGAATAGTGGGAGGGATCGAACTCCCCCTTGGCGATTTATGTAGGCTGCCGCCACCGTCTGTGTGAACTTCGACATGACGACCCTCGAGAAGGGCAGCGAAGTGTCTGATCACATTCCTCACTGTCATAAGCTCCAACACATTTATGTGCTTGTGCGTGTGGGAGGGCCAGCGATCTGCCACCGTATGGGACAAGCACGTGCCCCCCCATCCCAACAGTGATGCATCCGTAAAAACATACGTGCGACATAGGACGTCCAATGGGGACCCCGTGTGAGAGGATGTTGGGATTCCCCCAGTGAGCGAGGTCCCCGCCCACTGAAGGGGGAACCCTCAACATACGTCTCTTCTGACATATCGGGTGTACCCGGAGGCAGATGAACCAATGCTGTAGGCATCTCGTGTGCAGTAAGCCTAACGGCACCACAGCGTGGGCTGCAGCCATCATGCCCAGAAGTTTCATGACTAACAGGGCTCTCACGATCTTGCGGGGTTGCACGCGGGAGATCACCGTGGTGAGATCTGCCGCTCTCGCCGGAGACAAACGTGCTCTCATTAGGGAGGTGTTCAGCTCCACCCCGAGAAACACAATCGACTGGGATGGAAGGATGGAGCTCTTTTCCCAGTTTATGGAAAACCCCAGGGTTGACAGATGCTATATTAACTTCCTGGTTTGCTCTGACGCCTCGTCGTTGGACCGGGCGCATAGAAGCAGATCGTCCAGGTAAAATAAAACACTCATTCCCACCGTGCGCAGTGGCTGCAGCGCGGTCTTCAGACATTTGGAGAAGGTGCGCGGGGCTAGCGAGTAGCCGAAAGGGAGACGATTGAACTGATATTGAACTCCCTTAACTTCTGGTGTTTGGGAATTACTGGGATGTGGAAGTATGCGTCTTTCAGGTCTATTGACGTGAACCAGTCCCCGGAGTGCACATATTCTAGAACTTGCCTCATTGTTAACATGCGGAAATGCATCACTGCTATGGAGCAGTTGAACAGGGAAAGGTTGAGAATCGGTCTCATTCCTCCTGACTTCTTTGGTACTACGAAGTAGTGGGAGTAGAAGCCTGAGAGCTCTTGTCTGCGAGGGACTTGGGAAATTGAACGCCCCTGTACAGCTGGTTGTGTAATATGACTGACTGCGTGAACATGCAGGTGTGTCGCAGTGCTTGGTGTGGGGAACAAGTGTGAGGATTCGGCAGAGGATTCTGCAGAGGACTGTAGGATTGTGCTCTCAATCTGACGTTTTTTGGGTTTTATTTCAAAACCAAAATCATTCACAGAGTTAACATCACAGTCAGACGCACACACATTCCCCCCAACGAGTCACTTTCATGGTTGCTTTCGGCGAGGTTCTTGCGACTGTGATGGCCAAGACGGTGTCTGCTGGCTCTTTCGAAACTGTTGGCTTCCAACTCTCTGGTCCCGCTTTGGTTCCACCTCAGCGGGAGGCCGGCTCCGTGGGGCGGGCGGAGCAGCTGGGCGTCTGAAATTTCTGCGCCATTCGTCCCATCCTCTGGAGGAACGGCCGGAGTGAGAGGCGGACTGAGGGTGGACCAGGTCTTGCACTGTGGCGGACAGTTCAGCTGTCTTCTGAGCCCTCTCGACGACGCTCCTAAGATGGGGACCAAACAGAACGTCAGAGGTGATGGGGCCGTCCAGCATCTCTCTGTGCAGGTGTTCAGGAATGGAGGGCAGGGCCTTGAGCCACAAGGCCTGCTGGATAAGGGTCTGCCAGGCAGCAATGCGAGCAGAACCAGTGAGTACAGCAGCACACAGATTGAGAATGGCATCAGCAGTTTCAGTAATGATGGTTTTCGACTCGTCAGGAACGTCAAGCTCTTCCACCATTTTGGAAACGCCAAAGGCAAGAAGGGCGATGTTATTTCCTGCAGTGCCGGTCTGGAAGGCGCACTGGTGTGCGCGATCGTTGAGCTGCATCAGCAGCTGGTCATGCTTAGAAGCGGGAACTGCTCGCGGGCCAGTGAGGTGGCTCTTGGCGCCAAACAGTGAGGCCAAGTCCGGCTCCAGTGGAGGAACGGATGGCCAGCCCTGGTCGGCACTCGACCTTGGTAATGGGCGCATATGTGGAAATTGGTGCCTTGAGCTTAGCAGGTTCGGAGAAGGTGGCGGACCAGCAGATCATGGCAGCGGGGAAGCGCGGCCAGATGGGGTCTGGACAGCGCATTTGCGTTGCCCCAAAAATTCCCGCCAAATCATCTGCTTCAGGCAAAGCTGGTTCTGGCACGGCTAGCCCCTTGCGGACTGCAGCCGCGGAGATGATGGCAGGAGCTCCTGGAGCAGAGGAGCCCACTGAGGGAGGTACGTCGACCTCCGTGTTGTCCAGGAGGGAAGAAGGACTATGGCAGCCAGCCTCACTGTACTCCTCGCTGTCGATGACATCGTCCAGTCGGTAGGAGCCAGCCGGCTCCTGGCTGACGTTGAAGAACTGTAAGGCCTTGTCCAGTGAGTACGTGTGAAGCCTGATTTATGCTTCTCCGTCTGCCTCAGTGCGGAGACACGCAACGCCATTATCCGTCCTTGCGTAGGGCTCGCAAGTACGTACGGAGTCGAGCCCACTTTTTTAAACATCCGTCGAACGAAACGGATTATGCAAGCTTGTGATTGGTCAGGATGCCGCTGTTGTTTACAGCGCCGCCATTGCAAAGAGAGCTGAGGATAACTAGCGGCAGACACGGAGAAGCTTGAAGAATGCCTCGCGAAAAAACTCTAAAAATATGAACGTTTCATCCTCCCGTGACTGGAGGAGTGAAAAGATGTGCAGCAAGTGTGTTATTTGTGGACGGAAATGACAGGAAACGTGGGTTTAGAGGTGGGGAGCGCATGAAGAGATGGGAGAATGAGAGACAAATATGTCCGTGTTAAAAGTCTCTTATGTACACAAAAAACACAATATAAACACACTATCTTGGACCGATACATGACAAGATACCACAGAACAGCG